ACACCACAGATTTATTTTTTTCTCTCCTCTCTTTGGTCAGTGAGAAAACACACACACACACACACACACACACACACACACACACACACACACACAGGTCAACTCTTTATTAGGCTTTGAATATTTAGTGTCACTACGGTTAGAAATAAAGCCAAAAACACCCATAGAAACACAGAGGGTCAGACGTGATGTGGACTTACGTTGAGTTTGTAGGGCATCGACTCGAAGTAGATGGAGGTGGCTGAGATCCGCTTGACGTCAGACATGTAGCCATGAGTGAGACTGACGGAGACACAGAACTCATTACTCTATCTGATGAGCGGGCGAGAGAGGCAGAGAGTGAATGAGAGAGAGAGAGAGAGAGAGAGGGTCACTCACTGTCCGCCGTCAGGCAGGTCCAGACCCATGATGCGCTCGTGAGGGTTCAGGACGGCTGTGTAAGCGGCGAAGTTAGCCGGAGATCCGGAGTACGGCTGAACATTGACGCCCCACAGCGCCGGGTCGAGGTCAAACGCCTCCAGAGCCCTCTTCTGACACAACAACTCGATCTGATCCACCACCTCCGCCCCGCCGTAATACCTGCGCACACACACACACACACACACACGCACGCGCACACACACGCACGCACACACACACACACACACACACATAGATGAAGCACATCAGACACATCAACCTACCAACCATCAGTCTCATGAATAAATGATTAATTATAAATACATACAAATACATATAAAATTATTTTTAAATTAAGTACATAAATTTAATAAAAATAAAGTAAATTAAAAAAACGATGAGAAAATCAAACAAACAATAAACACAAGTAAATAATGACATTAAAACTAAAATAACTACATAAAACATAAATTAAATAAAAATTAAACAAAAAAGATAAATTGAAGAAAATAGCAGTAAAAAATAATAAACTACAAATACAAATAAATCAGAGAAATAAAATAATATAGTAAATAAAAAAAAAGATACAAATACAAATAAATGTAAATCAATTAAATGAAACACTAAAAATAAATAAAAAGAGGTAACTTATAAAATGATTACAATACAAATAAATAAAAATAAATACTTATAAAAACAAAAAAAATTATGAATGAATAAATAAATAATGAAAAAATATAAATAAAATAGATACATTAAAGGAGACCTATTATGCCCCTTTCTACAGTCAGTGTTCAGTGCTCGTCTCTGCAGCCAAACACAGAACAGTTAGCGTGCTTCGCTCAAACTTTCGTCATGGCGTTAGAGCTGCTACACCATTGTCGCTTGCGAAATCAAAATGACGGCGTCATGGGTGGAAACTTACAGATTAAGGGGCGGTAATATTATAATGAGATGCATTTGCAACGTCAGAAAGGGAGCGAAATCAGACGCGCTCATTTTTTCAGACGCTTGCAGAAAAAGGCTTCCCAAAACAAAGTGACTGGGTTCATCTTTTTCACGTCTTCTGTGTTGGTAGATGCACCGGGGACCCAATTTTAGCACTTAAACACGGAAAAAGTAAGATTTTCATGACATGTCACCTTTAAAAATACATAAAACCAAATAAAAATGATAATTTTTTTTTAAAAAAGGCACCTTTTTCCCGGGTATCCTTCAGGAGCCGCACGACTGCAGAAATTCTGTTGAGACACACACACACACACACACACACACACACACACACACACACACACACACCAAAATAACAATACATCTAACAGCACAAACACATCCAGATCTGGAGGAAGATGAGAGTCGCATGATGAAGATCTCAAGTGTTTCGGTTCCTCATACCTCTTAATTTTAGTCTTAAGACTCTCATATTCACTTCAATTCAGCCCCTGAACAGGTTTGTCTTATATTTATAATGTATAATATAGTTTAGCAATATCACATGAGCAAGAGTGCTGTTTTTCCCAATATCTGCACCATTGCATTTATGATATTGATATTACACAACAGTTCAATAACAAGTTTATATTGTGTTATATTTTAGACACAATATTGTCTGTTTTGATCAATTTCACACAGAATTGTTGAGCGTCTCTAATCAACACAGTGGTGATTCATTACTGAACGAATCCACGGTTTTGAACAAATCAAGTGAGTTAATGATTCAGTGACTCATTCATAAAGAGTCACTTTCTCAGTATCTGAATGAATGAATCAAGTGAGTCAGCATAAAGAGGCACTTGCTTAGTTTCTGTTTGAATGAATCAAGTGAGTCAGTGATTCATTCATAAAGACAGTCACTTGCTTCATTCTGAATGAATCAGCCATTTGAACAAATTGGTTGAATGAATGATTTAATGCTCACTCATTAAGACAGTGACTCACTGCCACCTACTGGCCAACTAGTGACTTTAAATTATCTTTTTAGGGGGTGATTTCTCAGCCAAAATTCACGTGTAATTAATTTGTGATTAATTCAATTAATGAATTAGATTAATCTGAAAGTGGTGTGGAGTAACATGGGTCGGTCTGTCACCTCAGAGGCGATGAGCTCCAGTCCTCGGCTCTGTCTGTCCTTCTCCTTCTGCAGAAGGTCCCACATCTCCGGATCGTCCTGAGCCAGACTCTCCTGTCCCGTCCACGAGCGCTCGTCATCAGCAACCGCCGGCGCTGAATGCTGGGATCTGACGCGGGCCGTGGAGGGAACACGCCGGCACACGGGCTGAAACACAAACACACACACACACACATAACATCCGTTCATCTCACACACACCAGCGCTGTCTCCTCATGAGCGCCAGACAAACAAACGCCAGCAAACAAACACTCATGAGTCACGAGCGTTACTATATTTAAAAAATATATTTAGCTATTAAATAAATAAATTACACATTTTTATATATATGTGTAAGTGAGTGTGTGTGTGAGTGTGTGAGTGAGTGTGTTTGTGCATGTTTGAGCGTGTGTGTGTGTGTGAGAGTGTGTGTTTGAGCGTGTGTGTGTGTGTGTGTGTGAGAGATTAGATAAGCAGTTATGCTGAATTTCCACTGGGCTGTAAAGTTTCTGTTGAGAGTTGCTGATTGGAGCAAAATTAAAGCGTCTCGTCATGCTGATTATTGTATCTCACCAACGCCCGTTACACACACACACACACACACAC